CTTCAGATGGGCCTGTATATGTGCTTTCTTGAGCAGGGGGACCTTGCGGGCGCTGCAGGATTTCAGTCCTTCACGGCGTAGTGTGTTACCAATTGTTTTCTTGGTGACTATGGTCCCAGCTGCCTTGAGATCATTGACAAGATCCTCCCGTGTAGTTCTGGGCTGATTCCTCACCGTTCTCATGATCATTGCAACTCCACAAGGTGAGATCTTGTATGGAGCCCCAGGCCGAGGGAGATTGACAGTTATTTTGTGTTTCTTCCATTTGCGAATAATCGCACCAACTGTTGTCACCTTCTCACCAAGCTGCTTGGCGATGGTCTTGTAGCCCATTCCAGCCTTGTGTAGGTCTACAATCTTGTCCCTGACATCCTTGGAGAGCTCTTTGGTCTTGACCATGGTGGAGTGTTTGGAATCTGATTGATTGATTGCTTCTGAGGACAGGTGTCTTTTATACAGGTAACAAGCTGAGATTAGGAGCATTCCCTTTTAAGAGTGTGCTCCTAATCTCAGCTCATTACCTGTATAAAAGACACCTGGGAGCCAGAAATCTTTCTGATTGAGAGGGGGTCAAATACTTATTTCCCTCATTTAAAATGCAAATCAATTTATAACATTTTTGACATGCGTTTTTCAGGAATTTTTTTTCTCTCACTGTTCAAATAAACCTACCATTAAAATTATAGACTGATCATTTCTTTGTCAGTGGGCAAACGTACAAAATCAGCAGATCAAATACTGTTTTCCCTCACTGTACATATCGCTTCTTAGAAAATAGTCAACTGTCTTTCTTCCCCAGCTAGCTATTGCACAGGACCCCTCAGACAGACAGTACAGTAATGTCAAGAGTATGATAATACCATCCTTCTACACCACAGTGTGGAGCAGCAGTGGGGCTGTTTCCCTCTTCACAAAGAGAGCCTTTCAGAGTGTCAGATTCTACTCTGCTCTTTGACTGTGGGCTGAAGGAGCTGTCTGGGGGTAGGGATAGCCTGTTGCAGGCAGTCGCAGAGGTCAGAGTCTAGAGCAGATGGCGTGCTGGCCCTGGGTCGGTCTGGCTGGGAAGACAACTATGCCTCTGTGTGTGTTGCAGACCTGGGTTCAAATACTATTCTAAATCTTTCAAATACTTCTAGCATATATATTTTCCTGCCTGGAGTGTCGTATGACAGGGTTTCCAGATTTCGGACTATTCTATTGGTTCCGTCAAGCCAGGCAAGCGCAATCAAGTACAGATAAAGTATTTTACATTGCCTTCACTCTCACCCATCTACACACAATACCCCATAATGACAACTTGAAAACATGTATTTGTTTTTATTTTTGCAAATGTATTGAAAATGAAATACAGAAATATCTCATTTGCATAACTATTAATAATAATAATAATAATAATAATAATAATCCCTGAGTCAATACTTATAGAAGCACCTTTGGCAGCAATTACAGCTGTGAGTCTTTCTGCGTAAGTCCCTAAGAGCTTTCCACATTTGCCCATTATTCTTTTCAAAATTCTTCAAACTCTGTCAAATTGGTTGTTGATCATTGCTAGTTGATCATAGGTTGTTGATCATTATACCCTGATGAAGACAGCTTGTCTGTCAACGAAGGTTATTCAATTATTGCATCTGAGCTCCTAGAGTGTGACTCTCTTTTTCAAGTGTTCTACTCCACTAGCCAGCACCTCTCCTAAACAGGTGTTCTACTCCTAGCCATCACCTAGCCACCCAACAGGTGTTCTACTTCCTCTAGCCAGCACCTCTCCTAAAACAGGTGTTCTACTCCACTAGCCAGCACCTCTCCTAAAACAGGTGTTCTACTCCGACTAGCCAGCACCTCTCCTAAACAGGTGTTCTACTCCGCTAGCCAGCACCTCTCCTAAACAGGTGTTCTACTCCGCTAGCCAGCACCTCTCCTAAACAGGTGTTCTACTCCGCTAGCCAGCACCTCTCCTAAACAGGTGTTCTACTCCGCTAGCCAGCACCTCTCCTAAACAGGTGTTTCTACTTCCGCTAGCCAGCACCTCTCCTAAACAGGTGTTCTACTCCGCTAGCCAGCACCTCTCCTAAACAGGTGTTCTACTCCGCTAGCCAGCAACCTCTCATAAACAGGTGTTCTACTCTGCTAGCCAGCACCTAAACAGGTGTTCTACTCCGCTAGCCAGCACCTCTCCTAAACAGGTGTTCTACTCCGCTAGCCAGCACCTCTCCTAAACAGGTGTTCTACTCCGCTAGCCAGCACCTCGCCTAAACAGGTGTTCTACTCCGCTAGCCAGCACCTCGCCTAAACAGGTGTCCGTTTCTTTCACCTCCAGATCATTGCTAGCCAACCATTTTCAGGTCTTGCCATAGATTTTCAAATAGATTTAATTCAAAACTGTAACTCGGCCACTCTGGAACATTTGTATTCTTTACAGGCTTCCTTCTTTTCACTCTGTCAATTAGGTTAGTATTGTGTAGTAACTACAATGTTGTTGATCCATCCTCAGTTTTCTCCTATCATAGCCATTCAACTCTGTAACTGTTTTAAAGTCACCATTGGCCTCACTGTGAAATCCCTGAACGGTTTCCTTCCTTTCCGGCTACTGAGTTAGGAAGGACGCCTGTATCTTTTGTAGTGACTGTGTGTATGGATACACTATCCAAAGTGTAATTAATAACTTCACCATGATCAAAGGGATATTCAATGTCTGCTTTTTTATTTTCACCCATCTACCAATAGCTGCCCTTCTCTGCGAGGCATTGGAAAACCTCCCTGGTCTTTGTGGTTGAATCTATGTTTGAAATTCACTGCTCGACAGAGGGACCTTACAGATAATTGTATGTGTGGGGTACAGAGATGAGGTAGTCATTTAAAAAATCATGTTAAACACTATTATTGCACACAGTGAGTACATGCAACTTATTATGTGACTTGTTAAACAAATGTTTACTCATTAACTTATTTAGGCTTGCCATAACAAAGGGTTCAGCTTATTGACTCGACATTTCAGCTTTTCATTTTTAATTAGTACACATTTCTAAAAACATAATTCCACTATGTGTAGGCCAGTGACAAAAAAAATCAACCATTGAATCTATTTTCAATTTCAGGCTGTAACACAACAAAACGTGGAAAAGGTCAAGGGGTGTTAATACTTTCTGAAGGCACTATAAATTAATTCAAACAGGTTTTTTGAACCTGTGTGTGTGCGTTTTGCAGATGCCCTGAGAAGAGTGACCACACAAGACCTGTACAGCCAATTTAGCCTTGAGCTGGACGACTGAGGGAGGAATAGTGGGTACCCTACCCATCCTACGCTCCACCCCTCCAGAGAAGAAGAGGGATGAAGGGATGAAAAGAGAGGAATGAGGAAGCTGGATTGGAATACAGCCTATACATGAAAGATTCTACATGAGTAAGTTAGAGGCTGGTGGCCTGGCCAATACATTGGCAGTTAGTCTCATGCCAAAATGATCAATGACACATTTTTATTTTTATGGAGTTATTGTAGTGTCACTTATGACAGTAATGTTTCTGAGCCAGGAAAAACTCTGGGCCCTAGTTATAGCCTACTTATAGACTAGTTATAGACTTGAAGGGCATGGAGTTTTTCCTGCTCAGGTCACATGAGGACAAACTGGTCAGGGTTAAAATATGTATTTGTTATGCAAATGAATGTGTTGTGTATGTAAAGAGATTTACACTGGAGTTTATATAAAGCAACTGCACCTGCTTTATGTCAGACTGACAGAGTCTGGAGGAAGTGTTTATGCAGAATTAAGAGAACTTAATGGAGGAATCTTTGTTTTAAACATGCTCTCCTACATTGCACTCATATAAGAGGGTTATGCATTTAATTCCTTTGCTTTTAGTGATGCCCACATTTAGTATGTAAATATAAAAACCTGTCTCTGAAGTTCCAGTGAAAATTAAGCTCTGCTCTGTTTCAAAATTTAGCGCTAGCAAGTTTATGGGTCCAATACAAACATAGGCCTAATACAAAAAACATAATTTGAGTATATAACAACTTTATAAAAACATAATGTTGGAGTAGAAATGTGTTATTTTCTAATTAAGTTATTCTGGAAGGTTGAAAAATCCAATAAAAAGAAAATACTTTTGCTGTATAAATGTCTATATTTGCATTATCAGATGCTTTCATTTTTGACTGCAAATGATGTCATGGGTGCATGTACAGAGATAAAATGAGATGTCCTCTTGTCTATCTACACTCCCACACTGTTAGTAAAAAGGTGATATCTAGAACTTAAAAGGGTTCTTCGGCTTTCCACAAAGCATAACTCTTTAAAGAACCCTTTTGGGGTTCCATGTCAAACCCTTTTTTCCATAGAGGGTTCTACATGGAACCCAAAAGGGTTCTTCCTAGACCAAAAAGGGTTCTACCTGGAACCAAAAAGGGTTATCCTATGGGGACAGCTGAAGAACCCTTTAGGAACCCTTTTTTTCTAAGAGTGCAATGTCTTCAGAGGTTGTCTACTTTATTGCTAGTCTAATTTCACAGCCACAGTGGCCCCTATCACCGAAGAGAATGAGGCGTTGCCCGTAATCTATGTGGAAAACACTGATAATGTTTTGTCTTGGGCAGTTAGTGACTGTTAAGTGCTGCTGCACGGCCCAGATGATCCAATGATTAGTAGGCTAGGCCTACTGGTGTCTTAGTTTATTATCTGATCTTCTGCATTTCTCAAAGATGGGCAAAATAGAACTGCCGTTATGCGCAGGTCTGGTACAGTTCCAACGCTTACCAGCAGCTCCTCGAGATGGCTGTATACGCAAATCTCCCCTAACCATACGATTTGTAGCTGTGTAGGTTTAATGCGCGTCTCACAGTCCCGCAGCAGGCCGGTGTCGGTGTCACTACCGGCTGGAATGAGGCGTGCACTCACTCTTCGGAAGAAGGGCCGCATTTCCTTGATAATAGAATTGGTGCTGCAGCAAGCTCCACCTCTATGGGATACAATTGTAAACTATGGGTCATTTGATTGGTCCTAGTGCTAGTCACTCATCGCTGCTTACACATAATGCCGGTGGATACGGATGGGACGGTCTCAACTAAGAAAATTATAAGGCCATTCGAATTACGGTAGTGAGCGAGTTTATGGTTACAATGAAGCTGAAAAAATTGAACCGGCGATAAGAATGAACGGATGATTTAGATAGGGGCAAAGTCGAACCAAGGAGGTAGGCAAATTTGATATAACCCCGACGGAGTAAGGGCAGTGCGCTGTTATCGGAGACCCTGGTGTGTGTCAACGTGCAAGGAGACGCCAGAGCCGTGGAAGGCTTTGCTAAACCAATCAAGGTGGAATTGTGCAAAACGGGTTCCACGTCCGGTGTAATACGCACTTTACTGTGTTTGTGGAGGACGTGAAACAAGGTAGGCATCATAACACTTGTCATTTTTATATCCCTCAATGGTCTAGTTTCCGGATCCATTATTAGCCTATTTAGCAGCCTAGCCTAGTGAGGTCTGAATAGCGCAGGCTTCACCCAACTGTCCTTTAACAACCTTGCCAGTGTATGTATTAATGTATGTATGGAAGGAAGCCTGCGTTTAAATGGACCAGGTTTGAATCTGTTGGACCATTATGTTATGTTATGTAGGCCTACCCTAATGTTATACAGCTGTCAGTGCCAAGAGTGCGGGTGGCAGACAACGGGATACAGTCAGCAGCGTTGACACAATACATTGAGGCTACAGAATAGCCACCACTCCAATCCAGTGTGCCGTTCGTTGCGCGCCACTATCAGTTTATAATAAATAGACAGCGGGTACGTTCGATCGAATGGAGATGTAACGGTTCTGATTAGGCTATGTTTGGTGGGGTTGCGCACATGGCATAGCTGCTGGTGATGGGTCGAGCTCTTTATTTTATTTCCGATCAGCAGTGAGCCTGCCTCTCTCTCTCACCATTACCGCAGTACTGCTGCTTCTATGGTGCTACGGCGCGTTAAACCATCGACTTTATAGATTTATTAGGTTATTAAACATTCAAATATTTCAACGCCCTTCCCATTTTTGTGATGTTGGATGATTTATAGCCAAGTAAATAGTAATATTATTTAATCGCAGCAATATTTCACCCTCTATTGAGGGACAAAGCCTAAACTTCATTATACATGTATGTATTGCCATGTTGGCCAGAGCATGTAATATCCCTCGTGCGGCAGAGTGGGTCTTGATGATGAGCACTTTGACGCACGCGATCATATCTAATCATGGTCCCCCTTCATAACGGAAAATGTATATCGTAAGTAAGAATAATGTGCTCTTGTTGACGCCTATGGCTTTAGCGTTAGCTAAAGCTTCCAATCTCACACTGGCAATATCAGGTAGCAACTATTGTTACCGCTTGTGTCCTCTGGCTCTGTGTTGGTTCTGGTCTCTGTGTCCGACAGTAAACAATCAATTTTAATGTAATCTGTGAGCCCAAGCTTGTTCTGTAAATGGACAGGATGTCCCCAGACAGGAACCATAATAAACAACATTTCTCTCTGGTGCTGCATACCGACATGACGCTATTGGTCCATAGCCAATTTTATAATTCTTTGCTACCAAAATATGTTGTACCTTTGGCCTAGTTTTTACATCGAATGTGGTACTGGCCTGGTACCTGGCCAGGAAGACCCGTTTGGTCAGGACAGTCACAAACTGGACCTTGCCGAGACAGACAAGCATAGGGCCTATCCATAATTGCATGTAGTGGTCTAAATCTGGAAGTGATAAATAAATAGGAACACCTTTTAAAAGGGAGGAAAATTAATGTGGAATAGAGAGAGAACCACTGTAGAGATTTAGAACAGCGAACATTTGAGGCCCCTTTCCCCTGATGGAGAAAAGCCTGGATGAACAGAACAAATCTACTAGACCCCACCTAGCTGTGATTGCTGCTCAGGAAAGGCTTGGAGGTAGCTAATGTCAAAAGTTGTGTTTTCAGTTACCCTCCGTAGACCTTTCCTGTAGTCAATGACCAAAAGCACCCCCTTTGGCCTCATGGGTGGGATGTTATTAATATTTTTCAGAATTGCTTTTTTCTTTTTTATTATCCAGTGTTTCTATAACAGTTGTTATATTTCAGTCTTCTGTTATGTATATAAAGTGTAATATTGGGATGCAAACTCAACATGTTATACATTTCAACTCTATATCTGACATGGTACAGGAGTCTTCTTTTTTCTTTTAAGCCCATAACCATGTGTTTGAAGTGTATACTTTTGTTTCAAAGTTGATTTGTTTAAGACTACCAAGAATAACTCTGTGTGACCCTGATTTGGCCCACTGCAGTAAAAGGTTCAATGAGTTACCGTACCTGGTGGTGACACTCATCTAGTGCAAAAGGTCAGACTGTAAGTTATAGGCCTATTTAAGGGTACACTTTACATATTATTGTATTATTATATTAGCTAGTAATTCAGTAGACACTCCTACCCAGAGAGCACTACAAGTGCTTTCAACTAGGAAGTAGAGAAGACCACACACCACACACCACAGGTTCATCGCGAGTGCAACCTCTGGGCTAGAACAGGGAAAAAAATTAAAAATAAATAAAGCTTTAGAGCTTGTCAGCGTTTGTTTCCTCCCACAGCCTGTGGGGGGAAACAAGGAAGCGAGGTGTCCTTTGCAATAGGATAGCATTAGCCAAATTGACTAACTCGTTTTCAGAAATATGGAAACATTGATCAAGACTCTTGTTCATTATAAGTCTAGAAAACAGATATAACATGATGACATGAATTGTGACATGTTTTCCTTTCTCTCCAGGATGATGCGCCTGGCATGCTGCACCGTCCTCCTCTTCCTGCTACGTCTCCTGGTGGGCCTGCCCTGGTTCCAGGTCCTCCCTTCCATCCTCATCTTCTACCTGGGCTCTGGAGGCTGGAAGTTCGTACTCATTTTCGCCAAGACCATCGGCAGAGATGTACAGTGAGTGGAAGTATATTATGGGATGTTTGATGTGTGTCTGTGTGGGCACCCGTGTGGACCTGTCTGCACCTGTCTGCAAGTCAATCAGAAGCACGTTTTACAGAAATGTGTGCGTCAGTGCTCCTCTGGTTTTAATGACGTTAAACAACCGATACCTTTTGAACAACAGATACCTTCACCATGGTTAGGACTATAGGAGTTTAATTGTCTCCAACAAGAAAAGCAGCACATTCCTGTAAGACAAGGAGGGATGTGCCACAGAGGAGACAAAAGCTCACGTGTTACAGAAGGGAGTGTTGAGTTAGTCAGGTATGGAGGAATGTCCATGGACAAACGAGAGACTGAACGTGAGAGAGAGCAAAGACAAAGCAGACGAGAGATGCTGAGGTTTCTCTGTGTTACCAGAGTTCACATTCACAGCTAGCTAGTGTTGTGATCTGTTCACCATGGTGACAGGTACTTCCCCTTGCACCCACGTAAAGCTTCAATGTTCTGATCTGAAGGGTCTGGATTGGGGAAGGGGAATCAGTTGTTACCAAAATACGAACCCTTTGCGCTGACTGACTTGGAGTGAAGATTGTAGTGCGTCAACCTGATAAAGTCAGACAGGGAAAAAAAAGTATGTTCCGCACTCACTTGCAATAATAAATTTTTATTCCATTAGGGACAAAGTTTTGGCCACACAGGTTTCATCAGTGTCATAGAGTGCATTCGGAAAGTATTCAGACCCCTTGACTTTTTCCACATTTTCTTACGTTACAGCCTTATTCTAAAATTGATTTGTATATATTTATTTATTCCCCCCTCATCAATCTACACACAATACTTCATAATGACAAAGCAGAAACTGTTTTTAGACATTTTTGCAAATGTATTAAAAATAAGAAACTCTCACATTTACATAAGTATTCAGACCCTTTACTCAGTACTTTGTTGAAGCACCTTTGGCAGCGATTACAGCCTCAAATCTTCTTGGGTATGATGCTGCAAGCTTGGCACACCTGTATTTGGGGAGTTTCTCCCATGCACAGCTATTTTCAGGTCCAGAGATGTTCGATCGGGTTCATGTCCAGGCTCTGGCTGGGCAACTCAAGGACATTCAAAGACTTGTCCCGAAGCCACTCCTGCGTTGTCTTGGCTGTGTGCTTACGGTCGTTGTCCTGTTTGAAGGTGAACCTTCGCCCCAGTCTGAGGTCCTGAGTGCTCTGTAGCAGGTTTTCATCAAGGATCTCTCTGTACTTTGCTCCATTCATCTTTCCTTCAATCCTGACTAGCCTGCCACTGAAAAACTTCCCCACAGCATGATGCTGCCACCACGATGCTTCACCGTAGGGATGGTGCCAGGTTTCCTCCAGACGTGACGCTTGGCATTCAGGCCAAAGAGTTCAATCTTGGTTTCATCAGACCAGAGACTCTTGTTTCTCATGGACTGAGAGTCTTTAGGAGCCTTTTGGCAAACTCCAAGCGGTCTGTCATGTGCCTTTTTACTGAGGAGTGGCTTCTGTCTGGCCACTCTACCATAAAGGCCTGATTGGTGGTTCTGCAGAGATGGTTGTCCTAGAAGGTTCTCCCATCTCCACAGAGGAACTCTGGAACTCTGTCAGTGACCATCGGGTTCTTGGTCACCTCCCTGACCAAGGCCCTTCTCCCCCGATTGCTCAGTTTGGCCGGGCGGCCAGCTCTAGGATGAGTCTTGGTGGTTCCAAACGTCTTCCATTTAAGAATAAAGGAGGCCACTGTGTTCTTGGGGACCTTTAATGCTGCAGAAGTTTTTGGTACCCTTCCCCAGATCTGTGCCTCGACACAATCCTCTCTCAGAGCTCTACGGACAATTCCTTCGACCTCATGGCTTTGGTTTTTACTCTGACATGCACTGTCAACTGTGGGACCTTATATAGACCGGTGTGTGCTTTTCAAAATCATGTCCAATCAATTGAATTTACCACAGGTGGACTCCAATCAAGTTGTAGAAACATTTCAAGGATGATCAATGGAACAGGATGCACTTGAGTTCAATTTCGAGTCTCATAGCAAAGGTTCTGAATACTTATGTAAATAAGATGTTTTCGTTTTGTCATTATGGGGTATTGTGTGTAGATTGAGGATTTGTATTTATTTAATCAATTTTAGAATAAGGCTGTAACGTAGCAAAATGTGGAAAAAGTCAAGGGGTCTGAATACTTTACGAATGCACCGTAAATCACATAAATACATTTTATTTATAGGGTGGTTTATTATGTGTGATTCATTTATGACACTGATGAAACCCATGTGGCCGACACGTTTGTCCCTAATGGAATAAGTCTTATCATTTATTATTGTGAGTGAGGATCATACCTTTTTCTGAATCGGTTGTTACTGAAATACCCCACTACTTAGCCGAACCGAGGTGAGCTGTGCTACTCTAGTCTGGTTAGACATCCACCATAGTTGCTGGAACCATGCAGGATAGGACAATGAAAATAAAATATTTGAGCCAGCACAGTACAGTTTGGATCCGCACAATAGTGTTAAGAGTACTGGTGGTGACTGGCTTATTGTCAGACTCATGTGGGTTTCCCTTTCCCCTACTATACCGTTTAGTAATAAAACTTAAGAAGAGGAAGTAGTCACCGGTTGGAGAGATGCCTCGAACCCCTTGAGTGACTCACCCCAAAGGAATGGTTTCAGTTTAACCTGTCTGTTCAGAGGGACAACCTCAAACCTTGATGGACCTGTATAGCTTATGAATATAAATAATTACAAAGGGTACTTGCACTCCTTGATGGGAATGTATAACTTCTATACAGTAAAATACAAAGAGTGCTACTCTCACTCAAACCATACAGGAAATAGTTGCAGGAGGCATGTATAGCTTTATGAAAATGTCACCTATAGTCTATCCTCATGAAAATGATGTTTTTATTGCTTATTCAGACTTTGTCCTGGTGAGTGAACCAAGCCTCTGTGTTGCAATATTTTACATCTCCAAGCCCCTGTTGCACTAACTAATGTATTTTTAAATGGACATTTAATGTGTTTGCTCAAGAATTGCCACAGTTGCAAAATGTACATGCTACAGTTGGTTGATGTTTTATCAGCTTATTTGTTTCTCAATGTCAATTGGAAGCTTTTTCTGGATTTGAACTTTGAGCCCAGAAATAAAACCTTTTATTGCTTAATCATAGATTGCTTAATGGAGTTTATTGCTTCATCACAATGTACTTCATGTCAGCTGCTATTTAGTCAGGAAAACCATGAAAACAACGTCAGGGTTGTGTTCATTAGGGCGTGCAAGTCCGGCTAGTTTACCACCATGTCTCTTTAGGCTCTTAGTTCTCTTTGAGTTGTTGTGATTCTCACCCCTTCTTTAACCTCCCTCTCCTCCACAGTGCGGCAGGCGTCCTCCTCAAGGTGAAGTCGAACGTCAATCGTCACCTGAAGGAACGAAACACCCTCCCTAAGATCTTCGCCGAGACTGTGCGTCGCCATGGGGACAAGACTGCACTCATTTTCGAGGGCACGGGCGAGAAGTGGTCCTTCCGGCAGCTGGACGAGTACTCCAACCGCGTGGCCAACCTGCTGCTCCAGAGGGGTTTCGTGGAAGGGGATGTGGTTGCTCTCTTCATGGAGAACCGCTCCCAGTACGTGGGCCTCTGGCTGGGCATGGCCAAGATAGGAGTGGAGGCTGCCCTGATTAACTTTAACCTGCGGCTGGAGGCCCTGGTGCACTGTGTCACCATCTCAAACGCTAAGGCTGTGGTGTTCGGCAGCGAGCTGACCGAGGGTGAGGACCAGGGGGGGTTAGTGGAAGGGTGGAGGAATGGATGGCTGGAGTGGGTGGCTGGAGGGAGGGAGTGATTGGTTAAGTGACAGGTGGCTGGAGGTAGTGGATGAATGGAGGGAGGGAGGGAGAGGGGGCTGGAAATCTTTGTTTAAGGAAATTGTACATGCTGAAGGCCCGTTCCCCGGACATACTGTAGATTAAGCCTAGTGCTGGACTAAAAAGCTATTTCAATGGACAGTCTTCTTTGAGCATGCTTTTTAGTCCAAGACTAGGCTTAATCTGGGTCTGGGAAACTCTCACTGAATGTTCCTTGAATTGCTAGTTTTAGACTTGATTTGTAACTTCAGATTATGTTTTATCTATAATAAGCAGAGGAAGGACACATTACTATTGACTTCCTGGAGATGTGGGGTCCGGTTCAGAATGATGATAGAGCATTTGTATCAAGTCTATATTTATCATTTGGTTTATGTCTTTAAGTAATTGGAAACCCTACATCCCTCTGACTAACCTGCATCAGTCATCATATATTCCTGCTGAGAGAACTGTCTGAGTATAAGGGTGTAGGAGGCTGTGTCTTTTCGTTGTACGTAGTCTGGTACTTCGGTGCGGAGGTATGCGTGTCGTGGAGGGGACGGGTTATGTGCTTCTTGCGTTGGAGGTTGTCTTTTCTATGTGTTTGTACGGTCTTATGGTGTTTATGGTCGTGAGTTGCGGTGTTTGTTTTGGAGGGCGTTGATTGTTTTGCTGTCTTTGTTTGGCTTTGATGTTTTTTCTCATGTGTCGAGCGGTGGTGTGAGGTCACGAGTTTCAGGGGAGTCGTACGTGCGGTGTTGAGGGGATGGGCCGAGTGTTGCTGCGGGGTACGAGTTCCTGGAGCTTCTGGATGCGCCTCACTGCTTCGTCGAGCTTGAGCTGGTCGTCTCACATTGTCCTATGATCATGTATGAGCAGCTTCTGTTTCTTAGTTTTTTTCTTTCTTTTATTTCTTTCTTTTTTTCTCTTCTTTCTTTTTGTTTCTTTCTTCTTCTTTCTTTCTTTCTTTTCTTTGTTACTTTCTTTTCTTTCTTCTTTCTTTCTTTCTTTCTTTCTTTCTTTCTTTCTTTCTTTCTTTCTTCTTCTTCCAGCGGTGTGTGAGGTCCACAGTTCCATGGGGAAGACAGTACAGATGCTGTGTTCAGGGGACTGGGACCCCAAATGTGTCCCTGCGGGGACAGAGTGCCTGGAGCCTCTACTGGACGCCGCCCCCACCCACCTGCCCATCCGCCCAGACCGCTGCTTCACTGGTCAGTCAATCAAACAATATGTCCAATCACACTCAGTCAGTGTATAAGAAGCCAGACCTGGACTCATAGTATTTTAGTTTTCTTTCAAAAACGTTTGATTGAACCTGTTTGAATTTGCAATTTCGGGAGTATTTCAAGATCAAGCCCATAGTTTTACTGCTTTCTCCACTCTTTGCTATTGTATGTCTGTTATTTTTACAGGTTTTTCCCTTGTCTGTTGTATGTGTATATTGATTTGTCCCAATCTCTCGGTCTTCCAGATCGTCTGTTCTACATCTACACATCTGGGACCACTGGGATGCCTAAAGCTGCCATCGTGGTGCACAGCAGGTAGGAGCTCCTTCTCTGTCTCTGTCTCTGTCTCTGTGTGTGTCTGTCTCTGTGTCTCTCTGTCTCTGTGTCTCTCTGTCTCTGTGTGTCTCGTCTGTGTCTGTGTCTGTCTCTCAGGAGCTCTTCTTCAAAGATGAGTGTTTGTCTATTTATCTCTTTCACTCTTCCACTCCTTTCCTCTCTCTTTTCTCCTGTCTTCTAATTCTCTCTCTCTCCTGGGTTCGACAGGTACTACCGCATGGCAGCGTTGGTGTACTATGGCTTCGGTATGACGTCTGATGACGTTTTGTACGATTGCCTTCCACTCTACCACTCCGCAGGTAACACTGGTGTGTGTGTGTGTCTGATCTCTGTGTCAGTGTTTGTATGTATGCCCATTGTAATTGTTTCTGGAACACGTGTGCATGTCTTCTCCAGGTAACATAGTCGGAGTGGGGCAGTGTCTAATCCACGGCATGACGGTGGTCATCAAGAAGAAGTTCTCTGCCTCCCGATTCTGGGAAGACTGTGCCAAGTACAACTGCACAGTGAGCCACAGACACACACACACAGACAGTGCTAGCTGACTCCCAGTAGCTCAGAGACTGTAAGATACATCTGTACAGAATAGGAGATCAGTAGAGAGAAGATGCATGTTTTGGGTTACTGCGCTGTTGAAAGTAGTGTTCAACTGTGTTGATGTTTATCTACAGCGATAGCTCAAGGATATTCGGGTTTACGATTCGGGTTTTGGGAAAAATCTGTTCAGGTGGTGAAAGTAGTCAAATCTGATAAACCAGAAGTAATGCTCTGCAGAGGGTAGTAGACGGCATTAGAAGACCGTGTTCTGTTTTTCTTCAGAAGTACCCAAAGATTTTATTTATTTATTTCACCTTTATTTAACCAGGTAAGCCAGTTGAGAACAAGTTCTCATTTACAACTGCGACCTGGCCAAGATAAAGCAAAGCAGTGCGATTTAAAAACAACAACACAGAGTTACAAATGGGGTAAACAAAACATAAAGTCAAAAATACAACAGAAAATATATATATACAGTGTGTGCGAATGTAGTAAGTTATGGAGGTAAGGCAATAAATAGGCCATAGTGCAAAATTGTTACAATTTCATATTAACACTGGAATGATAGATGTGCAAAAGATGATGTGCAAATAGAGATACTGGGGTGCAAATTAGCAAAATAAATAACAATATGGGGATGAGGTAGTTGGGTGGGCTAATTTCAGAAAGGCTGTGTACAGGTGCAGTGATCGGTAACTGACTCAAGTAGATTTGGGGCATAATAAAATAAGAGTTAGATCTGTAGATTGGTGTGGGTTCCTCACTTATACGCCCTCGTCTCATTGTGCTGGTGACTGTCTGACTCACTGACTGACTCACTGACTGGCTGTCTGACTGACTCATTGACTCACTGATTGATTGGCTCACTGACTGTCTGTCTCTCTGATCCCCAGATTGTCCAGTACATCGGGGAGATCTGCCGGTACCTGTTGAACCAGCCGATAAAGGACATAGAGGGGAAACACAAGGTCCGTATGGCGCTCGGTAACGGCCTGCGCCAGTCCATCTGGGAGGAGTTCACCTCTCGCTTCAATGTGCCACAGATAGCAGAGTTCTACGGAGCCACAGAGTGCAACTGTAGCCTGGGAAACTTTGACAACATGGTGAGGCACTAGGAGGACATTTTGGATCTCACAGCAAAGAGCTGAAAGCCAATGACGACGCTCTCATAGTTTATCTTATGGTGTTGGCAGACATTTTGGCTCTGAGGGCCTGCTTTTTCTATAGTGTGTGGTCCCAGGGAATCAACACCATCTGTGTAGTGTTAATCTTTATTATGGCTCTCAATTCAATTCTCAAAGCACATAAAAACACACAGTATTTCATCCTCAGGAGTAAAAGTTAGGGTATTAGTGGTCAGTGATGTCACTTTGTATTGAATTTGGACTGCATGCTGTATCCGAGCTATGGCGTGAAACAGTTGCTGTAAAGCTGAACAGAGTTTTAGTGCTGTTAGTTGAGTTGACATTACAGTATTATATTGTTGTCATATCGTTGTCTCTGTTTTATTTACGTGAACGTGTGGCTTCACCAGCCACATCCTCCCTTTCATCTACCCAATCAGACTGGAGAAGGGTTAGTTGGGGTCAGGGTTAGTTGGGTTGACGTTAACAGTATGGTATTGTCTCTGTGTTACAGATAGGAGCGTGTGGCTTCAACAGCCAGATCCTCCCCTTCATCTACCCCATCAGACTGGTGAAGGTAGATGAGGAGACCATGGAGCTAATCAGAGGCCCCGATGGCGTCTGCATCCCCTGTGGCCCTGGTACGTCACTACTAGTATACCTATAGAATACTCTCTCAGGCCTGGTCAGTTTTAGTATACCTATAGAATACTCTCTCAGGCCTGGTCAGTTTTAGTATACCTATAGAATACTCTCTCAGGCCTGGTCAGTTTTAGTATACCTATAGAATACTCTCTCAGGCCTGGTCAGTTTTAGTATACTATAATAATACTCTCTCAGTCCTGGTCAGTTTTAGTGTACTATAGTATACAGTGAGGGAAAAAAGTATTTGATCCCCTGCTGATTTTGTACGTTTGCCCACTGACAAATAAATGATCCGTCTATAATTTTAATGGTAGGTTTATTTGAACAGTGAGAGACAGAATAACAACAACAAAATCCAGAAAAACGCATGTCAAAAATGTTATAAATTGATTTGCATTTTAATGAGGGAAATAAGTATTTGACCCCCTCTCAATCAGAAAGATTTCTGGCTCCCAGGTGTCTTTTATACAGGTAACGAGCTGAGATTAGGAGCACACTCTTAAAGGGAGTGCTCCTAATCTCAGCTTGTTACCTGTATAAAAGACACCTGTCCACAGAAGCAATCAATCAATCAGATTCCAAACTCTCCACCATGGCCAAGACCAAAGAGCTCTCAAAGGATGTCAGGGACAAGATTGTTGACCTACACAAGTCTGGAATGGGCTACAAGACCATCACCAAGCAGCTTGGTGAGAAGGTGACAACAGTTGGTGCGATTATTCGCAAATGGAATAAACACAAAATAACTGTCAATCTCCCTCGGCCTGGGGCTCCATGCAAGATCTCACCTCGTGGAGTTGCAATGATCATGAGAACGGTGAGGAATCAGCCCAAAACTACACGGGAGGATCTTGTCAATGATCTCAAGGCAGCTGGGACCATAGTCACAACAATTGGTAACACACTACGCTGTGAAGGACTGAAATCCTGCAGCGCCCGCAAGGTCCCCCTGCTCAAGAAAGCACATATACAGGCCCGTCTGAAGTTTGCCAATGAACATCTGAATGATTCAGAGGAGAACTGGGTGAAAGTGTTGTGGTCAGATGAGACCAAAATCGAGCTCTTTGGCATCAACTCAACTCGCCGTGTTTGGAGGAGGAGGAATGCTGCCTATGACCCCAAGAACACCATCCCCACCGTCAAACATGGAGGTGGAAACATTATGCTAAGGGGGTGTTTTTCTGCTAAGGGGACAGGACAACTTCACCGCATCAAAGGGACGATGGACGGGGCCATGTACCGTCAAATCTTGGGTGAGAACCTCCTTCCCTCAGCCAGGGCATTGAAAATGGGTCGTGGATGGGTATTCCAGCATGACAATGACCCAAAACACACGGCCAAGGCAACAAAGGAGTGGCACAAGAAGAAGCACATTAAGGTCCTGGAGTGGCCTAGCCAGTCTCCAGACCTTAATCCCATAGAAAGTCTGTGGAGGGAGCTGAAGGTTCGAGTTGCCAAACGTCAGGCTCGAAACCTTAATGACTTGGAGAAGATCTGCAAAGAGGAGTGGGACAAAATCCCTCCTGAGATGTGTGCAAACCTGGTGGCCAACTACAAGAAACGTCTGATCTGTGTTAGCCAACAAGGGTTTTGCCACCAAGTACTAAGTCATGTTTTGCAGAGGGGTCAAATACTTATGTCCCTCATTAAAATGCAAATCAATTTATAACATTTGTGACATGCATTTTTCTGGATTTTTTTTTTTGTTATTCTGTGTCTCACTGTTCAAAAAACCTACTATTAAAATGATAGGCTGATCATGTCTTTGTCGGGGGGGGGGGGGGGGGCACTAGTTGCCCATCCCTGCTCTGTAGTATACTATACAGTACTGAAGCAACACATGGTAACTGGGTATCAAGTGACCCCAGGCTAAACTACAGGGGATCTCTGAGCAGTAGTGGGCCCCAGAGACGAGGTGTGCAGACCCGCTGGTGAGCAGACACGCCCTGGCACCCGTCAACCACTACCCCACCTATGGGTTAAATAGCAACAATGCATTGTGGAGTGCAAAAGGGCAGGACACACGTGTCCCTGGCCATCCACTGCAGCTGAAGAAGCTTCCAGCCGTAACGTTTACCGTGCCTCTGGGCCCTAGTTTCAGACGCCGAGAGAGTGGGACTGTCCCAGTGCAACAGCTCTCCCACTATAAGCAACTCACGCAGGGGTAACTTGTGCTAACACCACTTCTCCCCAAAAAAAGCCCTACAGCGATGGGGGAATGGCGACGCGAAATGTGGAGATGATCACTGGCGGTTGTAGCCACGAACCTGCATGTAGTCGATCCAGGATATTGGCCACTCATCTTCGTAACCAGGACAGAGATGATGTTCGGCAGCACCCTGGATGTCTGAGCAGCCCTTTTTAGGACAGCACTGCTCACCCTAACCTAGGGAAGGGGCTAGAAAAAGTGCCCTAGAAATTGCCTGCCCTACTGAATCTGGCCAGCTTACCGTGGTTGGCAGATCATCTCCTAAATGGTAGAAACACAAGCAATATAAATGAAAAATGAAAAACCAGACAAAAAGCAGCTCGTAATAGCTGCGTACAACATTAGAACAATGATGGACAAAAACTCTGTCCCATGTCCCGAGAGAAAAACTGCCTTGCTGTCCAGGGAACTGAGCAGATGTAAGATCGACATAGCAGATCTGAGTGAAACAAGGTTAGCTGACGATTGCACCATCACTGAACCAGTAGGTGGCTATAGGTTTTTATGGAAAGGCAAACCAAACGATGAGGACAGAGTACATGGTGTGGGCCTTGCCATAAGAACCAACCTTCTCAGGCACCTGCATGACTTACCCTCCGGCATAAATGAGAGGCTTAAGAAAATCAGGATTCCTCTCAACAAGACCAGGCATGCCACAATAATTAGTGCCTATGCACCTACATTACCAAGCCCTGCCAATGTGAAAGAACAGTTCTACTCCGAGCTAGACAACATCATCCAATCAACTCCCCAGAGTGACAAACTAATAATTTCTGGAGACTTCAATGCCAGGGTTTGATTTATTTGAATTTATTAGACCATTTTTAAAATCCATACATAAGGGTGAACCAGCTAGTGATGCCTCCACATACAATTTTAAGAAAATCATCAAGAATAACACAATAAAGCTTAAAAGTGTATTTCCATTGTGGGCAAAGATGGCACTAACTGACAAAGAGTGATTTGGCAAAGATGGAGTGGGAACCATGGGCTCCTACTCAGAGCATAGCCTCGCCACCACCAACACCTGCTTCAGGCAAGCAGACAAGTACAAAACTACATGGACGAACCCAAGATCCGAGCACTGGCAGCTGATAGATTATACACTGCTCAAAAAAATAAAGGGAACACTTAAACAAAATAATAATAATAATAATATGCCATTTAGCAGACGCTTTTATCCAAAGCGACTTACAGTCATGCGTGCATACATTTTTTTTGTGTATGGGTGGTCCCGGGGATCGAACCCACTACCTTGGCGTTACAAGCGCCGTACTCTACCAGCTGAGCTACAGAGGACCACGTACACATCCTAGATCTGAATGAATGAAATAATCTTATTAAATACTTTTTTCTTTACATAGTTGAATGTGCTGACAACACAATCACACAAAAATTATCAATGGAAATCAAATGTATCAACCCATGGAGGTCTGGATTTGGAATCACCCTCAACATTAAAGTGGAAAACCACACTACAGGCTGATCCAACTTTGATGTAATGTCCTTAAAACAAGTCAAAATGAGGCTCAGTAGTGTGTGTGGCCTCCACGTGCCTGTATGACCTCCCTACAACGCCTGGGAATGCTCCTGATGAGGTGGCGGATGGTCTCCTGAGGGATCTCCTCCCAGACCTGGACTAAAGCATCCGCCAACTCCTGGACAGTCTGTGGTGCAACGTGGCGTTGGTGGATGGAGCGAGACATGACGTCCCAGATGTGCTCAATTGGATTTAGTTCTGGGGAACGGGTGGGCCAGTCCATAGCATCAATGCCTTCCTCTTGCAGGAACTGCTGACACACTCCAGCCACATGAGGTCTAGCATTGTCTTGCATTAGGAGGAACACAGGGCCAACCGCACCAGCATATGGTCTCACAAGGGGTCTGAGGATCTCATCTCGGTACCTAATGACAGTCAGGCTAACTCTGGCGAGCACATGGAGGGCTGTGCGGCCCCCCCAAAGAAATGCCAGCCCACACCATGACTGACCCACCGCCAAACCGGTCTTGCTGGAGGATGTTGCAGGCAGCAGAACGTTCTCAACGGCGTCTCCAGACTCTGTCACATGCTCAGTGTGAACCTGCTTTCATCTGTGAAGAGCACAGGGCGCCAGTGGCAAATTTGCAAATCTTGGTGTTCTCTGGCAAATGCCAAACGTCCTGCACGGTGTTGGGCTGTAAGCACAACCCCCACCTGTGGACGTCGGGCCCTCATACCACCCTTATGGAGTCTGTTTCTGACCGTTTGAGCAGACACATGCACATTTGTGGCCTGCTGGAGGTCATTATGCAGGGCTCTGGCAGTGCTCCTCCTTGCACAAAGGAGGAGGTAGCAGTCCTGCTGCTGGGTTGTTGCCCTCCTACGGCCTCCTCCACGTCTCCTGATGTACTGGCCTGTCTCCTGGTAGCGCCTCCATGCTCTGGACACTATGCTGACAGACACAGCAAACCTTCTTGCCACAGCTCGCATTGATGTGCCATCCTGGATGAGCTGCACTACCTGAGCCACTTGTGTGGGTTGTAGACTCCGTCTCATGCTACCACTAGAGTGAAAGCACCGCCAGCATTCAAAAGTGACCAAAATCTCATCCAGGAAGCATAGGAACTGAGAAGTGGTCTGTGGTCACCACCTGCAGAACCACTTCTTTGTTGGGGGTGTCTTGCTAATTGCCTATAATTTCCACCTGTTGTCTATTCCATTTGCACAACAGCATGTGAAATGTATTGTCAATCAGTGTTGCTTCCTAAGTGGACAGTTTGATTTCACAGAAGTGTGATTGACTTGGAGTTACATTGTGTTGTTTAAGTGTTCCCTTTATTTTTTTGAGCAGTGTATCATTGTGTGACATTATGGATGTCAAGATTACAAGAGCCATGCGTGGCACAGAGTGCTGAATGGTCAGAGCGATCCTTGGCATGCACATCGTGCCAAACCACCCAAGGCGACACACAAAATCTAGACCTTCCCCAGATGTCCGGAAGCTGCAAGATGCACACCTCAGGGCTCAGTTGCAAGGCAACTTGCAAACTGCATGATCCCCTCAGATACGCCTTCGGAAGAATTTGAGAAGTTCAAAGAGACTGTGTACAGGAATCGGCAACAAGAATCCTTGGCACTAAAAAGAGAACCCATCAAGACTGGTTCAATGACAACAACAAAATTATGATGCTCCTGAGAAAAATAACGCTGCATTCCTGTCTTTCCAAAACAACCCCCTATCTGCCTCCAAGAGAGAAGTTCAAACACTTGCAGCAAAGAGTGCAGAAACTGCTCCAATCGATGCAAGATCAATGGTGGGAGGGACTAGCAGAACGCACACAAATGTATGCAGACACACACTGCACCAAACCATCTACGGACCGGTGAAGTCTTGCACATCACCTCTGAGATCAGCAGATGGCAAACCCCCCTCAGAGACAAAACAAGTATTGCAGAGAGGTGGGTGGAGCCATTCAGCAATCTCCTGAACAGGCCATCCAGTGTCGACCCCTCAGCCATAAACCTGATGCCCCAAAAAGCCATCCAACATCACTTGGACGAACCACCTACACTCGAGGAAACTGAAAAAGCTATCAGCATGAGCTCGGGGAAAGCACCATGCAAAGACGGTATCCCTACTGAACTCTATAAGACAGCTGGCCCAATTGCGACAGAAGTACTCCATGACATCTTTACCAGCATCTGGGAAACCGAGGAAGTGCCCCAGGACTACAAGGATGCTACCATTGTTGCCCTGTATAAAAACAAAGACAGCAAAGCAGACTGCGGCAACTATAGAGAAATGTCACTTCTCTCCATAGCTGACAAGATCCTTGCCCAAATCATCCTCAATAGGCTAACCTCCATCTCAGAAGAGAACCTTCCAGAAGCGCAATGTGGATTCAGGCCTGCTCGCAGAACAACGGACATGATATTTACCATCAGACCGATACAATAAAAATGTATTGAGCAAAACATGGACCTCTACTGCATGTTCATAGATCTCACCAAGGCTTTTGATACGGTAAACAGAGAGGGGTTATAGAAGATCCTCCAAAAACTAGTCAACATCATCCGCCTACTTCATGATGGAATGCAAGGCCAGATCCGCTGTGGTGGTGATATCTCTGAAGCTTTTCCCATCTCTAACGGAATCAAGCAAGGATGTATCTTGGGCTCGGTGCTGTTCAACCAAGGCATCTACATCAGATACAGGGATGATGGTTCAATCTACGATCTGCGCAGGCTCATAGCAAAGACCAAAACACAAGAACATCTTGTCCGTAAGGCCCTCTTTACTGATGACTGTGCCCTACTTGCGCACACAGAGGCAGACCTCCAGTCTTTGGCAGACAACTTTAATTAAGCTTGCAAGAGTTTTGGTCTTACCATCAGCTTGGAAAAAAACTGTAGTCCTCAGTCAACAATCACCCCTGTCCAACCCATTGCTCCCCGGCATCTGGGGAGCACCATCTCTAAAGATGGCTCACTCGACCAAGAAATAACTAGCAGAATTCAGAAAGCAAGCCAGTCATTGGGAAGGCTGAGGAACAGGATACTAAACCATCACACCATCACTCTTTCCACAAAGATGAAAATCTGCAATGCGGTCATCATCACAACTATGTTGTATGGCTGTGAAAGTCACTACGTCAAACAGCTGGAGACATTCTATACACGATCTCTGAGATCTATTATGGGTATAAGGTGGCAAGACGAGGTATCCAACAAGGAGGTACTACAGAAAGCTAACAGCACCAGCATTGAGGCTAAGATCATTAAGGGACAGCTCAGATGGATCTGCCACACCATCAGGATACCCCAACACCGTCTCCCAAGAAGGATCTTCTTTGGGGAGCTGCAGCAGGGGCACCAGAAGACAGAACGACCCAAAAAGCTCCTCAAAGACAACCTTAAACACAACCTCAAGTTCTGCAATGTCCAGCCCAGCCAACTCACAGACGTCGCCTCTACCCGATCCACCTGGCACTCCAAAACCCTCACCGACAGTACTGAATATAGCATACTGTACCTATAGAAAATATACTGTATACCTATCAGAGGCCCAGATGGATTCTGCATCCCCTGCAAAACCAAGGAAACATTTTGTTATTTTTGCTGACGTTGTATTGGTCAGGCCTTTTGTTTTATGTAATAGACTCTCTCTCTCTCTCTAGGTGAGCCCGGCCAGTTGGTAGGCAGGATCAATCAGAAAGACCCCCTGAGAAGGTTTGACGGCTACGTGAACGAAGGAGCCAACAGCAAGAAGACGGCTAACAGTGTCTTCAAGAAGGGAGACACTGCCTATCTCTCAGGTGAGAGGCTACTAAACTTTATAGACTTTTATCTTTCTGTCTGGCTGTCTGTCTTTCTGTCTCTCTCTTTCTCTCCCTCTCTCTCCCTCACACATTCTGACAGTGAGGTGTTGAGGTATCTACTACTGAGTTTAACCTTGGCCCAGTCAAAGCTGACTGTATTTCAGGACTCTCTGTCTGGAAAACAGTGGTATTTGTTACTGAGTGGACTGTCCTGGCTAAATAAATAAAGAATGGCGGTCCTCATCATGGACCAGTATGGTTACATGTACTTTACAAACGCACAGCTTTGTTACTGATCTGTTAGTTTTCTCCCTCCAGGCGACGTCCTAGTCATGGACCAGTATGGTTACATGTACTTTACAAACGCACAGCTTTGTTACTGATCTGTTAGTTTTCTCCCTCCAGGCGACGTCCTAGTCATGGACCGGTATGGTTACATGTACTTTAAGGATCGTACAGGGGACACGTTCCGTTGGAAGGGAGAGAACGTGTCGACCACCGAGGTAGAGGGAACTCTGAGCCGTCTGCTGGATATGAAGGACGTGGTAGTCTATGGCGTGGAGGTGCCAGGTACAGTGCCATCACACAGCTCTTTTTCCAGCAATGTCTTTATGGATTTTCAATTTACAACAATGGGGACATAGTCTTTGTTATCATGGCACCAAAACCAATCAAACAACTGCGCAAACTCATCCCCTCCCCACTACCCAAACTGATACAATAGCACTCATCCCCTCCCCACTACCCAAACTGATACAATAGCACTCATCCCCTCCCCACTACCCAAACTGATACAATAGCACTCATCCCCTCCCCAAACTGGTACAACAGCTCAGATACACAGAGCATTATAATTTCCCCAAAGAAAGGTTTTTAGCTAACCTGGCACCACGAGAGTAACAATTGATGTTTCTTCTGTGTGAACAAACGAAATGCATCAAATGAAGCCCTTTGCTGTTTTACGAGTGGTGTGGGACGGCGTGGTCGAGATTAAATAAAGTACCACGTTAGCTACAAAGCTTAAGGGAAACTCACCCCAGATCCCCAGTTTTGGTGAAAGGAGGAGAGGGAAGTGCCTAAGAAGAACTATCCCACTGGGCACAGACGTCAATTCAACGTCTATTCCACGTTGAAACAAAGTTGATTCAACCAGTGTGTGCCCAGTGGGATAGTGTTGTAAATTTCAATGGATTATCAAGGGTGTGTGCTTTGCTTTGCATTTTCTATTTCAAGGATGTTGTTAACCGTGTAGCCTACTGGTCGTAATGTGAAGAGCACTGAGCAGCAGCACACCGGGTTTGGGATGTGTGGCCCATGACGTCATCACTACAGCATGTTTCCAAGGCAAATCCAACTGTCTCCTTGATTCTTACAACGGTTGTGAATTACTTGATGGATGTAGATGCCAGTTACCATCAACTAATTGTCTAATTGTCAGTGATAAATCTATCACAAATCATCTAAAATGTTTTCTGGTGCATCATGCGCTGAGGGGACTATACCACCTTCTTACACTGAACAAAAATATAAACGCAACATGTAAAGTGTTGGTTTCATGAGCTGGAATAAAAGATCCCAGAAATTTTCCATATGCACAAAAAGCTTATTTCTCTCAAATTTTGTGCACAAATTTGTTTACATCCCTGTTAGTGAGCATTTCTTCTTTGTCAAGATAATCCATCTACCTGACTGGTGTGACATATCAAGAAGCTAATTAAACACCATGATCATTACACAGGTGCACCTTGTGCTGGGGACAATAAAAGGCCACTCGAAAATGTGCAGTTTTGTCACACAACACAATGCCAGAGATGTCAAGTTTTGAGGGAGCGTGCAATTTGCATGCTGACTGCAGGAATGTCCACCATAGCTGTTGCCAGATAATGTAATGTTCATTTCTCTACAATAAGCCGCCTCCAACGTGGTTTTAGAGAATTTGGCAGTACATCCAACCTGCCTCACAACTGCAGACCACGTGTATGGCGTCGTGTGGGATAGCGGTTTGCTGATGTCAACGTTGTGAATAGAGTGTCCTATGGTGGCGATGGGGTTATGGTATGGGCAGGCATAAGCTATGGACAACGAACACAATTGCATTTTATCCATGGCAATTTGAATGCACAAAGATACCATGACAAGATCCTGAGGCCCATTTTGAGGCCCTTTTTTATTTTTATTTTTTAAAGCTATCTATGACTAACAGATGCATGTCTGTATTCCCAGTTATGTGAAATCCATAGATTATGGCCTAATCAATTTATTTCAATTGACTGATTTCCTTATATGAACTGTAACTCAGTAAAATCTTGAAATTGTTGCATTTATATTTTCTTCAGAATATAAAGGGAAGGCATTTACTTTTCACAGGATTACCGTAATTAGTCTAGTAATGGCACCTCCACTCTATTACATACAGTGCCTTCAGAAAGTATTCACACCCCTTGACTTTTTCCACATTCTGTTGTTGCAGACTGAATTACATTTTTTAAATAAAATGTAGATTTTGTGTCACTGATCTACACACAATACCCCACAATGGGCAAACCTAAATAAGTTCAGGAGTAAACATTTGCTTAACAAGTAACATAAGTTGCATGGACTCACTTTTTGTGCAATAATAGTGTTTAACATTATTTTTAAATGACTACCCCATCTCTGTACCCCACACATACAATTATCTGTAAGGTCCCTCAGTCAAGCAGTGAATTTCAAGCACAGATTAAACCACAAAGACCAGGGAGGTTTTCCAATGGTTAGCAAAGAAGGGCACATATTGGTAGATGGCAACAACAACAAAAATACATTTGAATATCCCTTTTGAGCATGGTGCAGTTATTAATTACACCTTGGATGGTGTACTGATACACCCATTCACTACAAATATACAGGCACCCTTCCTAACTGTAACTGATTTTAAAACAGTTACAGAGTTTAATTGCTGTGTTAGGAGATGACTGAGGATGGATCAACAACGTTGTAGTTACTCCACAATGCTAACATAAATGACAGTGAAAAGAAGGAAAATATTCCAAAACATGCATCCTAAGGCACTAAAGTAATACTGCAAAAAATGTGGCAAAGAAATGACCTTTTTGTCCTGAATACAAAGCGTTGTGTTGTGTTTTCCCCAAACATATCACTGAGTACCACTCTTCATATCTTCAAGCATGGTGGTTGCATCATGTTATGGGTATGCTTGCCATTGGCAAGGAGTAGGGAGTTTTTTAGGATGAAAATAAATGGAATAGAACTAAGCACAGGCAAAATCCTAGAGGAAAACCTGGTTCAGTCTGCTTTCCACCAGACACAGGGAGACACATTCTCCTTTCAGCAGGACAATTACCTAAAACGCAAGGCAAAATATACACTGGATTTGCTTACCAAGACGACATTCAGTGTTCCTGAGCGGCCTAGTTAAAGTTTTGACTTAAATTGGCTTGAAAATCTATGGCAAGGCTTGAAAATGGCTGTTTAGCATTGATCAACAACCAATATGACAGAGCTTGAATATTTTTTATTTAAAGAATAATGGGCAAATATTGAACAATCCAGGTGTGCAAAGCACTTGGAAACTTACCCAGAAAGACTCACAGCTGTAATGCTGCCAAAAGGTGATTCTAACATGTATTGACTCAGGGGTGTGAATACTTATGTAAATTAGATATATTAGTGTTGTATTTTAATTTGTTTTGTTTGAATTTTTCTTCCACTTTGACAGAGTATTTTGTGTAGATCGTTTACAAAAAAATGACCCATTAAATCCATTTTAATCCCACTTTATAACACAACAAAATGTGGAAAAAGTCAAAGGGTGTGAATACTTTCTGAGGCACTGTATGTTTTCTGATGCGTGTGTCAGGAGGCAGAGGACACTGTGTGACTTTCTAACTCTCAGACCCCTATAGCAGGTTGGGGTCCATTGTTACAGGCTGAGTGCTTTATACAATCATAAATGTATGTATCTTTCCGTTGCATGTCTGTCTCAGGCGCTGAGGGGAAGGCTGGGATGGCCGCCATAGCAGATCCAGAGAGATCTACAGACCTGGAGAAGTTTGGGAAGGATCTGGAGAAAGCCCTGCCACCCTATGCACGACCCGTCTTCCTACGCTTCCTCAAAGAGGTCAACAAGACAGGTGGGTTCAGTTGGACATGTATCAATTATACAGTATCTGTTACTTACATTATATACTGAGTATATAAAACATTAGTTGCATCCCCCTCTCTTTTGCTCTCAGAACAGCCTCAATTCGTCCGGCCATGGACTCTACAAGGTGTCGAAAGCATTCCACAGGGATGCTGGCCCATGTTGACTCCAGTGCTTCCCCCAGTTGTCAAGTTGGCTGGATGTCCTTTGGGTAGTGGACCATCCTTGATACACACAGGAAACTGTTGAGCGCGAAAAACTCTGCCGCGTTGCAGTTCTTGACACAAACCGGTGCGCCTTGCACCTACTACCATACCCCGTTCAAAGGCGCTTAAACCTTTTTGTCTTGCCCATTTATCCTCTGAATGGCACACATACATACACAATCCATATCTCAATTGTCTCAAGGTTAAAAAATCCTTCTTTAACCTGTCTCCTCCCTTTCATCTACACTGATTTGAAGTGGATTTAACAAGTGACATCAATAAGGGACATAGCTTTCACCTGGATTCACCTGGTCAGTCTGTCATGGAAAGAGCAGGTGTTCCTAATGTTTAGTACACTGTGTGTATTGTATCCTCTCCTCAGGGGGAGGTCAGGGACTCTATTCAAAAAGTGATGGAGTAGGAGTGCGGATCTAGAATTAGGTCCCCTCTGTCCATATAATCTTATTCATAGTGATCTAAAAGGCAAAACTGATCCTATATCAGCAGTCCTACTTTGAGTCTGTAATTCAACCCTCTATGACTATGTGAATATGAGCCCCAAAGTAGCCCATTCTCTAATACATCCCTCTTCTCTAACTCACTCACTCCTCCTCCTTAGGCACCTATAAATTCCAGAAGACAGACATGCGGCGGGAAGGTTTTGACCCCAGCATGGGATCAGACAAGCTGTACTTCCTGGAACCCAGCAGGGGGGGCTACGTGGCACTGCACCAGGAGCTCTACAGCAGCATCATCTCAGGGAAGCAGAAACTGTAACTGATCACTCTTGCCCCCCCACCCCCACCCAACCCTGCACACACAAACACCCAATTCCTGAAGTCACTCTCCCTCCCCCCTCCTACATCCCACCTCTCTGCTCTCGCTAAGCCCACACCCCTCGTTACCTCAGTGACCACAGTGAGGGGCAGCTGGCTCATCCGGGTCACATGACAAGCCAATCTGACACCATATCCCATGATAGACCTAGAGCGACCTTTGACCCCTAAAGGCACCTCCCCTGACCCTTCACCCCGGAGTTTGACCTTGACCTGACCTGGAGCTATAGGAACGCTCGCTGGAAGGACACAGCTCTCTGGCTGAGAGAGGCGTGTGGCATCTCCAGAATGCAAAATATTGTTATTTACTCCAAATCTAAGAGTCCAAGCTATAGGAACTTGGCACAATGAAAGAACTTTAATTGAATGAAGGAAACACTCCTATTGGTTTGTCTGTCTCATGTTGATGAGGTCACTCCCTCATAGGCCCAACCTGCACAATGCCCAGTCAGTGACCAGTGGCTTCTGTTGTGACACAAAATGGCCGGTTTTAGTGGTGTAGACTCTGCTCATCCATATTAGACATACAGTACAGCTAACCTGAAACTGATGGATTTAAGTGCAATAGGGCTCCAGCAGTGCAATAATCAGCCAGAAGTAGAATTGAGAAGAAGCTTTCTAATATATTTAAATATGCCTGCATTATACCAAATATATTTAATTTTTAGAATAGTCTTTACACATTTTAAAACAAAAGGATGATTGTATGTTCAAGTTTCTGATAGTATTCAAATTCTAATCATGTTATGCTATATCCACGATTGCGCTCGGCTTTCTCCTGCCCAGTCTTCAACTATAGAATCTACAGACCAACTACCAGCCGCTTGAACACCAATAACTCTCTTACAGTTTCAAACCTGATTCTGAACGTTTTTTATTCTGGATAGAAGATTCTGATTCTGAATGTTCTGATTCTGGGTCAATATTAATTTTTTTGTCTGTGTCAACATTGTGCAGGTTGGGCCCAAAGGGCTGGCTTCATCTTGTATGGCATAGTGGACATTTTAAAGCTGGAAGAAGAGCGAGCTGAAGTGAAAAGCACTAACCTCCATCTGTCTCTGTTGAGGACTCGATGTGACGAGAATAATACTCTGGTGCTACAGAAGGAAGGAGACTGGCACAGCGGTGCAGCAAACCGAACAATCTAAATCGTGGCTCTCCAACCCTGTAGATTTACCGTCCTGTAGGTTTTCACTCCAACCCTAATCTAGCGCACCTGATTCTAATAATTAGCTGGTTGATAAGCTGAATCAGGCTAGTTAACTGGGGTTGGAGCGAAAACCTACTGGAGGGTAGCTCTCCAGGAACAGGGTTGGAGAGACCTGATCTAAAGACGGTCCTTGCTCTAAGGGGGAAGAGGAGAGGAAAGAGAGGAGAGGAGAGATACTTATTTTCGGCATTGTTGTTTGTTCTTCTACTTTGTTTCATTTTCTCAGCAGCATGAATGATCAACACAGAGTACTGTACCTTTACTGTGAGTTTACCATCTCAGATTCACAGGCCCTGTCCCCCATCACCCCCTACCCTAACCCTCCACTCCCTACTGTCCCATAGCACCCGAACCCATCACCCCCTACCCTAACCCTTCACTCCCTACTGTCCCATAGCACCCGAACCCATCACCCCCTACCCTAACCCTTCACTCCCTACTGTCCCATAGCACCCTACCCTAACCCATCACCCCTACCCTAACCCTTCACTCCCTACTGTCCCATAGCACCCTAACCCATCACCCCCTACCCTAACCCTTCACTCCCTACTGTCCCATAGCACCCTACCCTAACCCATCACCCCCTACCCTAACCCTTCACTCCCTACTGTCCCATAGCACCCTACCCTAACCCATCACCCCCTACCCTAACCCTTCACTCCCTACTGTCCCATAGCACCCTAACCCATCACCCCCTACCCTAACCCTTCACTCCCTACTGTCCCATAGCACCCTACCCTAACCCATCACCCCCTACCCTAACCCTTCACTCCCTACTGTCCCATAGCACCCTAACCCATCACCCCCTACCCTAACCCTTCACTCCCTACTGTCCCATAGCACCCTACCCTAACCCATCACCCCCTACCCTAACCCTTCACTCCCTACTGTCCCGTAGCACCCTACCCTATCCTATCGCTCCCTTGTCTGTCCTCTGTCCCTATCATCAGGTATTACCCCACATTTTCCCCTCACTTTCATTCAGCACCCCAATCATGTTGTACCCTAACCCGTGATCACTCCTGTTAGGCATGTCTCCCACCCACTCAGACCCTCACCCTCTCTCATTCTCACCCAGTCCATCACCCAGTCCCTCACCCTTCCCAGGCACCTCTGTTTGATCCTTGCTTCTCTTGTTATGGCTAGACATTTCTGTCTGTCATGCTGTTATTCCCTCAGCTCAGAGGACATTGCCATGTGACTAACGACAGTCACCTCCCCAGCTCTCGTACCTTCGGCGAACATCGGTAGTACTGTACGTTATTACATTTACATTTCACCATGTCCTCTCAAAACAAACAAATCATGAGCCAGTTTCGTCAGCCAAATATCCTGTCTGTTAAATCAAAGGTGACAATGGGCATTGGGAAATATTCTGAAGTAGCTTCCTTTCCTTGTCTCCTTTCCTCCATCTGCACTGATCTGAAAGGAGTGGAGGTGAAAAACAACCATAGCCATATTGTTTACACATTTTACATTTTAGTAATTTAGCAGATGCTCTTATCCAGAGCGACTTACAGTTAGTGCATACATTTATTTTTCATACTGGTCCCCCGTGGGAATCGAACCCACAACCCTGGCGTTGCAAGCGCCATGCTCTACCAACTGAGCTACACGGGACTACAACACCTATGCTGTTGTGTTGCAGGAGAGGAGACAAGTAGAGGAGACAAGGAGAGGAATCTGTTTTAGACTATTGAGATGCATCCCCTGTCTGCCCCAGATGTTTCCATTCCCCCTTTTTTTGTAATTTAATTTAAAAGTATTATTCATTCTTTATTTGATTGTGCATTGACTGTGTCACGGCTATGCGTTGCATTTGTTTGTTATATTCTGTGTGTGAAATCAAAGCTTTGATGTCTCAGGATTCTGGAAGGGAGTGAAGGGTTTCTGTGAGTTATGTGTACCTGTTTGACTGTGACCAGGACCCAGACCTATGACCGCACCAGCCCACTATCTTATCACACTGAATAGAGAGAGACATACTGTTGTGTCTTTGGGCCGGTTTCCTGGACACAGATTAAGCCTTGTCCTGGACTGAAACTTGTCTCCATTGAACATGCTTTTTAGGGAATCCAACTCCCTAGATCTGTCAAACCAATGGGAGCTATAGTAGTGTGAGAGTGTGACAGGGTGTTGGTCACATCTTTAACCAGAGGGAGGTGGTGTTTCCCAGAAAAAAAGCATAATGGCTGCTGCCTACTTCTACCCATACAGATAGATAAAGGACTCATCTTTGTATCTGCGCCATTATAGTGTCTGTGACAGCATGGGCAGAGCCATTGAGGCTATCTCCATTTTGAAGTAGTCAATTTTCTTCTTCACGATTGGCCGATCCCTCCTGATGACCCAGTTGGACAGGACTCCAGCAGGGTCACCAGGATGGATCAGCCAATGAAGTTGGAAGTCCCACCCAGTTGACTAAAATGGTGGAGGCCCTCAATGACGCTGCCCATGGTAATACGGCCTTTTGGCCTCTAGAGGCCTCTATCGTTCTCAAGTGTAGTGGTCACCAACCATTTCTGAGTCAAAATGCAAACCGAGATCTGCCGCTCATATTATTTTTAAACATAAGCCTATGCAACATTAACCAGTTAAAAACAGTTCTGTAGCAATGAGGTTTGTGCAGTAGGATATAGGCCCAATACATTATCACTGCATATTGGCTATGCTTGAATTGCCCTGCCAATGTTGTTCTTCTCAGACCATTTTGAAATTATATATTTTTTAAATGTGGTATATGATCACACTGGTAATAGATAATTTGTTGTATTAATTGTGAGGCACAGCTAAGTGAGCATAATGTCCTTTTTTATTTTGTATTTTACTGGACTGATGGCCTGCATCTGATGGTCAGTCTGATGGGAGGGAGGGAGCAGCAGTGAGGCTGCCTCTCACCGTCCTTCCTCTCTCCCTCCCTCTACTGAGAAAAGGGACACAGTCCAGCTGATGGCGAAACTCAACTCGCACTGCATGATTTCTGCCTCATGCACCAATTCATGTTGTTACTCCTATGACCAGAGAAAGTGAAATATTCCTCGATATTAAAAAAGACAAGCAGCTAATAATAACAACACAAGCTTATCGGAACACTTTGCTATACTCATTCATTACAGATGCAGTGCTGATTGTAGTGAGTGGAAGTAGGGAGCATGTGTATTTTATGGCTTTTATATAAAAGTGTGGAACAAAGTGAGTCTCTCTAGTCATGGTTTTGAAATCTCACAGTATCAACTTTGCTGCGTGTACGAGGCTTCTTTTTACAGCTCGAGGAAACCGTGCAGACATGGTGATCTGAGCTATCTGATTAGCCAACGGTAGACCTATAGGTGCACTTGATTTGTTCTCTAGGCCGGCCGGGTAGGCGGCGTTCTACCTTCAGACACATAAAATGGTTCAAAATGGGAACACTTTGCCTTCCTGGTGCTAGGGCTGCTGAATCAAGTGCACCTACCACCAACAGCCCCAAACAAAGAAGAAAAAAAATATAGGAACACAAGGCTTTATCGTTGGGTTTTTTACAGAAATGTTTGGTGATCGACTAGGAATGCCTTGGAGATCGACTAGTCGAGCGCAATCGACCGGTTGGTGACCACTGCACTGGTGCTACCATACCAGTGAACCCTCATTCCATAGGAGTAAACATTATTATTATTATGTCCTTAACTATCTGTATTAAAGAATGTCTGATGTATTTTATAAAATATAATATCAATGCATTGCTCTTCTATAGTACTGGGATTATGGATAATGAATAAAACAGATTGATGAATGGAAACAGTATGTTTATCCACTGTGTTGTATTGAAGTGAAGAGTTCCAAATGGCCTGTAAATAAT